CCACTTTTAAGCATATAGCGTGAAAACACGAAATTGGTCTCTCTAATGATCTATTTCTACCACTTTTAAACATATAGTGTGAAAACATGAAATTGGTCTCTCTAATGATCTATTTCTACCACTTTTAAACATATAGTGTGAAAACATGAAATTGGTCTCTCTAATGATCTATTTCCACCACTTTTAAACATATAGTGTGCAAACATGAAATTGGTCTCTCTAATGATCTATTTCTACCACTTTTAAACATAAAAGTGAAAACACGAAATGGGTCTCTCTAATGATCTATTTCTACCACTTTTAAACATATAGAGTGAAAACACGAAATGGGTCTCTCTAATGATTTATTTCTACCACTTTTAAACATATAGCGTGAAAACACGAAATGGGTCTCTCTAATGATATATTTCTACCACTTTTAAACATAAAAAGTGGAAACACGAAATGGGTCTTTAATGATATATTTCTACCATTTTTAAACATAAAAGTGAAAACACGAAATTGGTCTCTCTAATGATCTATTTCTACCACTTTTAAACATAAAAGTGAAAACATGAAATTGGTCTGTCTAATTATCTATTTCTACCGTTTTTAAACATATAGCGTGAAAACATGAAATGGGTCTTTCTAATTATCTATATCTACCATTTTTAAACATATAGCGTGAAAACATGAAATTGGTCTCTCTAATGATTTATTTCTACTGCTTTTAAACATATAGCGTGAAAACACGAAATGGGTCTTTAATGATCTATTTCTACCACTTTTAAACATATAGCGTGAAAACATGAAATGGGTCTTTCTAATGATCTATTTCTATCACTTTTAAACATAAAAAGTGAAAACACGAAATGGGTCTTTAATGATATATTTCTACCACTTTTAAACATAAAAAAGTGGAAACACGAAATGGGTCTTTAATTATATATTTCTACCATTTTTATATACAAAATTCCTGTCTAAGAATCTTCACTGGAGATTAAAGAAACTAATTTCCAAATTTAGCGTTTTCTAGTTCTTGTTCCCGATTCTGTTAAAACCAGGGGAGAAGCATATCCGTTAATAATAACATGATCGTGACTTAACGTGACTGTATTACTTGTACAATGGCTTCGTTTGTTACAGGTTGCGTCTAAAGAAATGTCCAAGACCTATTTCTTGTGCGATTGTTTTTGCAACAGGTGAAAAGCACAAAATAAATAGCCAAAAACCCTCTTGCCGTTGGTTGAAAATATCTGTTTGATAAATACATGGAATGTTGATATCTACTTAAGTTGAGAAAGTATATTTTTACGGTATTTGTCTTCTAAAGTGTTTTTTGTTTTAATTTTTAGCACCAAGTAATCAACTTACCATTTGCGCCTGCTGAAGAACGACAAATGAAAACTATAACAAGTAATTGAATAATAAGTGAAGATACGTAGACCATGGTCACAAACTCGTTGTTTCAGTTGCCTTGAAATCAATAAATACAGTCAGTGGCAGAAGCTGTTTTAACACAAACTATTTACCAAGGTCAAAAAGAGGCATCTAAAAATAACTATTTTAAAAATACTTTTTTCTGATTGGCCGGTAGCTTCACTTCGTGTATGAAGAAAGTCTGAGGTGAAGAACTTGTATTCAATAAAGTTTAATGTATTCGTTGATGTCTGATTTTAAATAAAATGTTTGATAATAATTAATTAATATCCAAGTGACAGCAAAATGGAACTTATTTTATACACATAGTTCCATGAACTGGAATATTTGATAAACATAGTTCCATGAACTGGAATATTTGATAAACATAGTTCCATGAACTGGAATATTTGATAAACATAGTTTCATGAACTAGAATATTTGATACACATAGTTCTATGAACTGGAATATTCGATAAACATAGTTCCATGAACTGGAATATTTGATACACATAGTTCCGTGAACTTGTATTATTTGATAAACATAGTTCCATGAACTGGAATATTTGATACACATAGTTCCGTGAACTTGTATTATTTGATAAACATAGTTCCGTGAACTTGTATTATTTGATAAACATAGTTCCGTGAACTTGTATTATTTGATAAACATAGTTCGGTGAACTTAGAATATTTGATACATATAGTTACATAAACTTGGAATATTTGATACATATAGTTACATAAACTTGGAATATTTGATACACGTGATTTTATGAACTTGCAATATTTGATAAACATAGATACGTGAACTTGAAATAACTTATACGCATAGTTTCATAAGCTCGGAATGTTTGATACACATCATTTCGTGAACTGAAATAACTGATACATGTAGTTCTGTGAACAATGAATATCAGAACAGAGTTATAAAGATGTGTAAGTTTGTAAGAGTGTTTATCTTCACTATCTAACACATGAACTTGGAACAATTGACACACATAGTTCTGTGAACAATGAATATCAGAACAGAGTTATAAAGATGTGTAAGTTTGTAAGAGTGTTTATCTTTACTATCTAACACAGACATAGCGT